CATCGTAAAAACTGTATCGGGATGCCTTTAGAAATACAATTTCTTGCAACATTTATACTACGAGATAGTAAGCCTAACGCTTACTCACCGGTGGAACGCAGACAATATCGCGAATACAGATATCAAGTATTTGAATGTTAATACTAAAGACAAACACTCATTATTTTTGCAGTGACGATATAACACTTATACACGTTTATTGGTGACTTTCATCAGTTTTGCTATTCATTTTAATAACTTTGTTTTCACATATACAAGTAGCAATACCCGACTAGCCTGTCATACATACTTATGGGGCAGTTTTCAATCCTGTACTGACTTACTCTGGTGTTCCCGAGCGAAGCTTAGTGGCTTGGGTGTTATACCCTGTTTTTATGGTAATCCTATTATTACTTCATTTTTATCTAACGACACCCTGTTATCTGGATCACGGCTCCGTGACTATCCATAACAATTAAGATAAACATTCAGATCAAGTACATGAATGAGTTTGTTTTGACGCCTCAGTCAATCAAAGACCAATGCTGTGCGGTTTGATTACACACTTCTACCAGGTGGTGGATCTTTATTTTCTACCTAAAGAGAAGAATAGTTCATATGCTAATCCATCTACGAAAACCGTCCCGCTTAAGATGACCTTACTTGTTGTTAAATCAATCATCTACAACCCCCCCCCCCCCACGCCACTCTCCCCCCCACGCCTCCCCCCCCACCCCGCGCCACACACACATACACGCACGCTTGCACGCACGCAACCACCCCCCCCCCCCCCCCCCCCCAATAAAGTCAATTCATAGTTACACGGTTGTGAAGAAGCTTACAACTTCATAACACTTATTCATCTCCATCTCCAATAGAGCTACTCGTACTCACATAAAGTTGTAGTTATTATGTTTTATTTCTTTAAAAACATATTACGTGTTCATCAATAACAATTAAGATGAACATTCAATTTCCGATTCAAGTAAATGAATAAGTGTGTTTTACGCCACAATCAGTCAAAGACCAAAGTTGTCCGGTTCAATCTACCAGGTACCACATTATGTTCACCCGATCCCCATTTAAGTCTCCGCTGTGTGGATATTCCTGCCGAAAAGACCCCATGTACCTCGAAATCTCATTGATACATTCATGCGCGGCATTCTCTACCTTAAGAAGATTATAGTTAACATGCTTATCCAACTCGAACTACTACCCCGCTCAAGATGAATGTTTAATGTTACATCCAACACACACACACACACACACACACACACACACACACACACACACACACACACACACACACACACACACACACACACACACACACACACACACACACACACACACACACACACACACACACACACACACATGCATGCACGTCGCTATAAAAGTGCAACAATCGTGTACGCGACGTTAAACCCCATTTTACCACACCTCACTGTGCAATTTGTATTTGCGATCACCATGTCCCAATCGTCTCAGTGATCGAACAATTCGGAAGTAATTGTAACATGTGTAAACTGCTGCCGGGGAAGAGTAAGTATACACCCATGTTTGATGGTGGTTAAAAATGAAACAAACAAGAAATGGTTATTCGATGGAGATATACTTGCTTCGGGTATCTTAGGCGATACTACATGCATCAAATCAATGAGTGTCTCACAACACTGGATCCATTGACCGAAGTTTGTAACTCTGTGACAACACGTACAAAAGAAAGTCTTTGTACAGGAGATGCAATGGGCTATTCATGACACATCACAGGCTTTTACGGATTGTGAATCGGCCTCGCGATGTCTAATCCGTTGTCCTCGCATAAATATTAACTTATCTTCACGATCTGTCTGAATGAAAGGCGTGGCAACATTCAAGTAGTTCTTTAACGGTTATGTGAAATATTAGAATGGCTCCTACACAGAAGCCAAATCTTTAAGTTGTTTGATTCTTCGGTAGCATTTTCAATAAATGTTGTTCACGAGAGGTTCCTGAATACATTAATCGAGATTACGCTATCCGCATGGATGACCTATTCCGGCATAGATATATATATCTAGATCGGTGACTCTAAGCCGGCGACCCGTACCCAGATCCGGACATACCAGTGGGGCAGGCACTCACTCACTCACTCACTCACTCACTCACTCACTCACTCACTCACTCACTCACTCACTCACTCACTCACTCACTCACTCACTCACTCACTCACTCACTCACTCACTCACTCACTCACTCACTCACTCACTCACTCACTCACTCACTCACTCACTCACTCACTCACTCACTCACTCACTCACTCACTCACTCACTCACTCACTCACTCACTCACTCACTCACTCACTCACTCACTCACTCACTCACTCACTCACTCACTCACTCACTCACTCACTCACTCACTCACTCACTCACTCACTCACTCACTCACTCACTCACTCACTCACTCACTCACTCACTCACTCACTCACTCACTCACTCACTCACTCACTCACTCACTCACTCACTCACTCACTCACTCACTCACTCACTCACTCACTCACTCACTCACTCACTCACTCACTCACTCACTCACTCACTCACTCACTCACTCACTCACTCACTCACTCACTCACCCACCCACCCACCCAATAAAACAACCAATAAAACAATCAATCAACTTCATAAAACAATACAATCAATATAACAAGTAAATCAATCAATAAAACAACTCAATCAAACAATTTAATAAAACAACAATAATCTAACTCAATCAATCAACCATTCAATTAACTCAAACAATCTATCAATCAAACAATCAATCGTGCTTTCTAAATGCAAGAAAATGGAAATCGAGTGACGGATGCTTGACTCATTGTAAGTCTTTGTACGTCATTGTATCGTTGCTAGTGGTACCAGTTACCAGTTTGGGCTAGACGAAGCATTGACGAAGCAAAGAGTTTAATCAGACGTCTCCTTGAGGGAGACTGGTATCACAACTGTGATCCCTGTCAGTAAGAGATATGGCATTGCATGCCAGGCCAGCAGTTAGACGTATCAACGCACAATCGCAAATTCTCCTCAGCGTAATATATATCTTGTACGTGTGTGGTAACAGGGTGTGTTTGGTTACTTGAGTAGGAAGCACAAGTACACGAATGGATGTTATTTCAGATGACAAATGAAAGAAGACAGAAACGCAAATTTAGTGACCGGTGTCCGTGTTTGCTTTCATCATTCGCCAACACACACACACACACACACACACACACACACACACACACACACACACACACACACACACACACACACACACACACACACACACACACACACACACACACACATGAACCACGCCTCCAGTACCCCAAGACTGCATGAATAGGTTAAACGTCAGTACCCATCCGCTCATTTCCACTCCCTGAGTGTGCATTTACAAGTCAGTACACATAAGTATCTGAAATCTGCTCTGAAACAAAGTCTACTGAACTTAACCAAAGCCGTTAATTGTTTTTGAGATCATCATTATTATCATTACAGGCACATTACTAGTATTAAAACACAGTATAACGAAACATATCCTGGGATCTATTGACACTGCAGACTCCTGAGGGTGCTCAGACTCAGTATTACCATGGTATGTACATCGTCACGAGGTTACACATTGAATACAGCTGCTTGGATTTTACAGTTTGAATATTGTGTCATCTTGGGGACATTACACATAGCTTTATTTACAAGATGGTGATAGCATATATTTGCACTGTCACTAACTGCGCATCTGTAAACAGATCACAGCTTTCTTCAACATGGATATGTAGTGCACATTAGGGGTAGCGATAACAAGGAAAGGAGGTTCACACGGTACAATATTCGCATTTTCATGTTTGTTTCTGTTAAATATACTACATCGTACATGCAAATGATTATAATAAGACTGAATGTAATTTTAATTTAAGTTTTGGGAGTTTAGCTGCAGTGAGTCACTCAAGGAAGAAACATAGGCATATAGGAAAATTTCAAATGTAAAACAAATTATTCTGCGGGCTTGAATTTGTGTGGGTTTCTTCGATAAACACTTTACACCTAACAGAAATGTTTCAAGATAGACTTTCGTTGTTGGGGAAAATGTCTGATTTGTGAGATTTTCCACTGTCTTAATCTTGTAGCTTCAGTATCAAGATCCATGACAAACGTTTGCTCCTTTTAGATAAGAAGAACTTTAAGTGAATAGCTAAAATGTCGACCTACTCATGCATTGATTCATATCACTCTCATCAGCTATACAGTGATAAATGTATATGTGACAGTGAATAGAGAATCCAGCATATCTCCTCCGTCCTCAATTTCGCCCCCATCAACTTAATGGACCCGAGAGAATATCTGTAACTTTATCTTTGATTTCTCTGCGATGATATCCCTGCACGTTTACACATCATCAGAAGATGACCTTCTTTGACACATTTAAACATTCTCTATTTATATAGTAACATTCCTCACTTATGTGATTCTAAAAGCCACCTCTTGTACTGTCCTCATTTTGCTTCCTCCCTTTGACAGTTCTTTTTACTGAACCACCGGAATGGTTTCCATGGTTGCCACTATTTCCTTGGTTACAATCACCCATTTGACGCACATTCTTTGCTTTCTTGGTAATCAAGCTAACATTCGCAATTCGATGCACATGCTTAAATAGGTTCGCATTGTTGGGGGGAAATGTAATGCACAGATGTTTCTCCTTCGCCTGCTGTGACTATGCCGTTAAAACGCCACAAAGCTGACAGTTGTGCAGTTCGTTGCGATGTGAAGTATCCAATTCGCCGATATTTCCTGAACATGTGATGCATTTTATTCCAATAGAGGAGTTTTCACCTAAAGTTTGAGCAGATTTGGGCGCATATTGTATGGGAGATGGTTGAAAAGTTAAAGGCTCTGTGATGTAGGTCCAGTTATATAGACTGCGATATTAAAGACCTTGCTCACTCGCTCATCACCAAATGGATTTCAAGTGATGTTGATACATGTACACATCTCTTTGACAGGTCTTGCTAACCTTAACAGCAAGTCAGCCGGGAAGATTGGTTTGTATACCATTGTCTACTACATCGGTACTACAGTATTGGCAACAATCATTGGCCTCATCCTCGTTCTCACCATTAGACCAGGTCACTTTTACAACAACAATGTCGTGGATGTCAGGTCATCAGGAGGTGCCCCTTCAGCTTCAGCTAGAGACGTGTTCCTGGATTTAGTCAGGTTAGTTTCATTGAACATGTTGATGGTTCTAATGCGTCAGCCAATATGAAATAGCGATTAAGAAAACACTTCGCATTTTATGGACACCAGAGAATATCTGAAAGAAATCGGTCTGACTCATACGTTTGTAACAATGTTTTTTCGTTTAAGAACGTGATGTAATACCTTTAGAAACAGAGGATATTGAAGGGTTTGCTAAGGATATTACACTAGTGTAAAACTTATGTTCCCTTTTGTGACTCGTAATTCTCATCATAAACAATATAACTATCACCAACCAGCGTTTTCAACCAACTCAATCCCTAAGAACGTTTAAATGTATGTGGACTAGTATTGTCCACAACCTACGGTAGCTTATTAATGACGTAAATCCTGCTGAGGTAGGATCAGGTACTGGCCTCAGTATTCTCAGTATGATGGACTAGGTTTGGCTGCAAGTTACCTACATTTGTGTTTAAAATCCTACGGACATTATTTCTCTGCTACAATATGTTTGACAGACTGCTTTAGATATATCTTTGATGATAATTTAATTCCATTAATTTTGTCAGTAATTAATCACCTTTATTTTGAGCATGCATATACTTTACTTTGGAATAGGTCCTTAGAAACACATGCTTGCCGTAAAAGGCGACTATGATTGTCGGAAGAGGCGACTAACGGGATCGGGTAGTCAGGCTCACTGACTTGGTTGGTGCATGTTAACCAACAAACAAACAAGACCTATGCCATGGGCCAGTGAAGTATGCAAGTTGATCGTGTGAAAACATTGTACATCATAGGCGAACGACGAGTCCATTCAACTTCGAGAAGACAGAAGGGAATTACATTTTATTGTATAATATGTGACTGTGGCTGCTCGATTTCACACTGACCTCTTTGTGATCCTCTGCAGGAACGTTTTCCCTGAAAATGTTGTTCAGGCAAGCTTTCAGACAAGTGGTACTGTTTATGTACAGAAGCATACAGGAGTATCTCTACAAGATAATTCTACAGCTACACATAATTCAAGTTTGAATGAGACATCATCAATTCAAACAAGTGAAGGCATATGGGCTCCAAAGTCTGTCTACAGATCAGGAATGAACACGATAGGTATGATTACCTTAGTAGTTCCATGTTGATTGTTGAACGTGCAATTTATACCGGTATGATCTTGTAATATGTTGACTGGGTAATCATAGCATGTCAATTTGCTCGTTAACTCTTGTCATTTATGAGCAGTCACAGATGTTTTTCACACTTGTCACGCTTGATTTGCATTGAAAAAATTTGTTAAAACTATGTAAAATAATAATTATATCGTTAAACATATATACATATTCGACGTAGAAAGCCATCTGTATTGATTATTGACAATATTGGCCTACAGTTTGATTGACCATTTGCCGTGTAGCGAGCAGGCTATTCTCTTCATTAATGATGACTTCACCGAATATGAATTCTTCCCAAATAAGAGTAATTATACAGTTGTCACATCTTTCACTTATGAGCTGTAATGGATTTTACTGGCCAAAATGTTTTGTACACCCCGAGACAAATTCTGTCACCTTGTAAAATCCCGTTAGTGACGAATGCAACTTATAACGCTATTCAGTTTAGTCAGGTCTCTATACTCAGGTGCCACACTGTGAGGACTCCGTTGTCTGTTAAACGATAGAACAGCCACAGGTAATGTGAGTAAACTGCACATGATGTTCCGCACAAAGTTAGTCTGGAACTATTATGGTTCATTGCCAGTTATCCCTGTGTATTTGTTATTGTTCTTTGTCTTATCTACAGGAATAATATGCTACTTCGTGTTCTTTGGTGTAATCCTGGGTCGCCTTGGGAAAAAGGGAAAAGTGGTGCTGCGTTTCTTCACTGTTGTTAATGACATTACCATTAGGATGGTACTAATACTTTTGTGGTGAGTATTATAATACAAAACAAACAGTGTAAAGTCCAACCGAACACAATATGCTTACATAGACAGTTGCAACCTCCGTCTGTTGTAAACTTTCTTAAACGCACGATGCAGCTAAATGTGTGCGTTAATGATCTCAGCACTACTGTCTCCATAAATGTTTGCAGAATCATTGTTTTTTTTAGATGCCACAGCATCTTTAACAACGATTTATCAGCAGTTCCTTCTTCCATTATCAAATAATTTGATATTCAGTTAGAATGTGGTAAGTGTAATAACACGTGTAACATTGTCAGATGTGTTTGGTGTTTCATCCTTCCCATACACTGGCGTTCATCTGGTGTGACTACAATGTGGATATCTTCCCCGTGGGAGGCTCAAATGGTCGCTATACGGCTGAGATATTGCCAAACCGACGTTCACTTGTAACACACTCACTAAGTAGCTCACATGTTACTTATATCAATGACACGACCATTTTGTTTATAAAGCCTCCATTCCGATTTGGGTGTCAGTGTTATCCACTGTGCGCCGTTTTGATATACTTTGATACATGATATATGATGAGATACGATGGTTTGAACTTCACATCACATCACATAATCTATTTGCAGCATTTCAGGATTCTCCTCTGAAACCACCAGATTTCGGAAGATGAAATGTTGTGCACACGATCCCAGCAATGATGACTACAAAGTGTGCCTGCAACAATAAACATCAGCCATAATGGACATCCATTGTCGGCTTTGCCCTTTACTCGTCCTTTTTTCGATTCATGTTGTTGTCTGCACAAAAAAATCAGCTATCACGGTTTGTTGTGTATTTCATTGGGCACAGTGTTAGTTTGCCCTCTGATCAGCCTAATGTTTTTCCATAATTCAAGTTCATGCTACCAATACTTTTTGGAATTCTTGTTTTCAATCCTTGGTCCCGTGGGAATTCCGGGGCAAAACGCGTCCTGGTACCCTATAAGATGATTGCCGGGAGCCAACTGAAGGAGCGTTGACATGGCTGATTTGGGTGTTATTGTGCCAATATAGCATTGATAATAATTTCACTCACTTGTTTGTTGGTTTCGAAAAAGGTTGCAGTGATAAAACTGAAAAGATGCTTTGACCATGCCTTGAGTACTCACTAACTAACTAAATCTTATAGGTGATCACGTTGGATCGATGTCCTGTTATTGAATGTACACGATTAAAACTATTGATTTCAATCTTATCGAGGAATAAACCTTTTGATGAACATTCTGAAAATAAGTTCTTTATCTTTTTCAGGTATTCTCCAATCGGGATTATGTTCCTGATTATGGGGAATATACTTTCAGTCAAGAACCTCACTGCCACTGCCAAGCAGCTTGCCATCTACATAGTAACAACTTTGACTGGTCTTGGAATCCACGTCCTAATAGTCCTTCCACTGCTGCAGCTTGCTTTGACGAGGAAGAATCCTTACAAAATCGTCAAAGGAATACCACAGGCCGTTTTAACGGTTCTTGCAACTGCTTCTAGGTGACTGTTTGAAATATATTTGAAATGACAAATATTGTCATTTGTTTACATCTGTCGATATTGTCGACACCGATGTTAACGACATGACTTGACATTTCAACTTGTCTTGAGTGAATTGCAATCGGGCCATCCATGCTGATAATGAATCCTTTCAATGTGGTACACCTTTTTGCCATACGGTTCTACAGTATGGTAGTCTTTCTTGAAGTATACTGTAAAACTTGTATATAATTTTATTTAACTTTATTGTCCCTTTCACATGTTGAGTCGTATATAATAACCCTATGTGTGGTCAGGATCTACGGCTGTTTACCAGACCTTCTAACATGTTCATTCTCGATGATATACGGGTTATAACGAATGAAAACGTAATTTCTGTTTAGCTCTGCAACCTTACCTATTACTATTCGATGTTGCGAAGAGAACTTGAAGATTAACACTGCCATCACTCGTTTTGTGCTGCCGATAGGGGCAACCATCAACATGGACGGTACCGCCATCTTCCAAGTCATCTCTGCCGTGTATATTGCCCAGATACGTAGAATACCTCTACACTTCATCGAAATCATTGTATTAAGGTAAGGTGAACCTAGCGACAACGAAGGTGCCTGAGGGTCAGACGATATATGGAGAATCTCACCAGAATGGTGTTTGACTTAAAAATGTCCCGAGGCTGATATATTTGGTATCAAACGACATTCTCAATAATAATTCTGCATTAATAACTACAAAACCAATCAGTTGATGTTTACATTGATGGCTGAGACTATCATGCAATTAATAAAGACGCACCACACCTCCAGTTCACGTCACTCGTCATTTCCAGTGTAAAACGCAACGTTAACGTGATTACAGAACTCTTCAACTGTTTATGTATCACCTAGTATAACTATGCATTCTCTCTGTCCCACAACAATACTTTTACGTCTACATGCTTTGAAACATCGAAATTTATACATTGCAATTACGAAAATATGTGGAAAGTGCGCAGTACAATCACATGTGGTAGTGTCTAAGAAATACGCCACTTGTGAAAATGTGAAAATATCTCCTAATAAATCGCTGCTCGAAACGAAAGAATACGCGCTGTTCAAGTAACGTGGCGCTTTGGGAGTTAAATGAAAAAGTTACAGTTTATAACGAAACATTTTCACGAGAAAGACAAGAAGCGATATTAACTCCATAAATTACCATCTGTAATTATCGGGTAACTCAACAGTTTGTGTACAGACTAAACAGTGAAATATAAAGTATTATGTTCACTGCAATGAAAACATCACTTTTCTCAACTTTGTAAAACTCAGTCTTTCACACTGAAATTGATAATGAATATAATTCAATGCCAAATATCTATGTTTTTCAGTTTATGCACAGTGTTGGGCAGTGTGGGTGTGGCTGGAGTGCCCAACTCGGCTATAATGGTATTGATGGTGATCCTGTCATCTGTAGGTCTTCCTGTAGAAGACATCTCCATCTTGCTGGCAGTCGACTGGTTCCTGTAAGCATGACGAGTACACATTTCAGTCACATTAACAATGCCTTGATAAGAGTGATTTTACGAATCTGTGAAACCAAAAGGATTTCAAAGCTAACTTGGCATTTTTATATCACGACCAAGTCTATAAAAGGCTACGTTGTTAAATATTGGGATAGTTCACCTGCCACATGAAATCCGCCATGTTTTAGCAATGGCTACACTGATGTGCCTGTGATCTTGTGATAATGTTTACTAAAGCCATATCAGCATGATAATAAGAATACAGTAATGACATATTATTCTGAAAGGACGAAGTGTGTGCTAAAGGAAGTTTTTGGCCCACTTGAAATAGCAAACACAATTGCCTTTATTATTTCTGTATGAAAGTAAGAACATAAATGTATATGGCAAAGAAGAAACACATTGACAAGAAAAAGTATAATCATCTTCATTTGACTTGTCAGCAAAAGCGGGGGTTCATAGTGGGAACGGGAGGTCATTCTAATTACAGTCTTGACGCTGTACCCGTGAAGTAGAATAGTAGAATCCGGGGTAGAATAGGTCTTCAGCAACCCATGCTTGCCGTAAAAGGCGACTGTACTTGTCGTAAAAGGCGACTAACGGGATCAGGTGGTCAGGCTCGCTGACTTGGTTGATGCATGTCATCGATCCCAAGTGCGTGGATTGATGCTCATGATCTTAATCACTGGATTGTCTGGTCCAGAATCGATTATTTACAGACCGCCGCCATATAGATGAAATATTGCGGCGTGAAACAACCAACCAACCAACCAACCAACCAACCAACCAACCAACCGTTGTTTTAGTATTAGCCATAACTGCCATTGGTTAAGCCACACGTTGCCTTTGGTCAAAATATTAATTCGCCATCAATTAATCAATTTCTTTAATATGGGCACATTCTTTTCTTTCAATGTGATTACAACAGGCTTTGCCTCTTTTATAAATTGCGAGGCTTTATTAAGTTGACTGTCTGATGAACATTGTCAAAATGTTGTCCCACTTCTTTCCGTCAAGTAGTGATCGAAACATGTGGCCTACATTTGTCAGTCGTTGAGGTTCATTAGTTTGACGTTGTGCTGAAAATCATCTTTTCTGAAATGCGGGTCAACTTTTTTAGCTATGTCAGTATATCCAGTGAACAAAACATATCGGCATATATACTCACCGCCAACAGAAACGCAAGCCATAGAAACATATAGATAAGTATGTACGTTAAGAAGAGATGTTTCCAATGTGTACCAATTAATGACAACATTAATCAGTAAAGTGTTACCACAGAGTAACTGCATTCTTATCACGATATGCTGCACGTGATTTCCAAACTTTACACGCTAATTCTGCACGAGACAAATGATCCTCGAATCATGGATCTATGACGTCACATGTGATGCGTTCATGAAAATCGGTTCACACAACATACCAGTATGTTCGTTTGTGCATGGAGCCAATCTCATATCTCTTGAATATTAGAAAGTCTTCACAGATTAACCATCATATATGGTATTCGTGTTTCTTTCGTCAGTGAGTATATATTGATCGGCTTGATTCTAAGTTTGCTTGTCTAAAATGCAGACGCACTGTTTTTCTTTCATGGTAGCAACAGGCGGACCTACATTAGCATTGTTTGCATGGATTTATTGTAAATGATATTATTCTCGTTTTGCAAGACTGAAGTGAAATGTTCTTAAAGCCCCACCCTGACTATAAATAGCCCGCAAGGTGGCGGTGTTTCAGTTTCGAACAATGACTGACAATGTAAACACAACTGAGTGTCGGGAGACGTTTTTTGAAAACCATAAGGGAACCAGATCACCATTGACCGTCAAACTTCGTATCAACTTGAATGACAAACCATGGATACAACAAATGGCTCCATATCAAGATATAAGTCAATAGATTTTCTGTAGTTTTATCATAAAAAATCGAATCGATCGTGTTTGGCGTCTGCATCAATCACAGTGGGCGGAGCTTATTTACGGTTGCGCTATAAATAGCAAAGCACATGGTCATGTGTACATGTGACACATTCAATGCATTTGTGGTCAAAGTGAATTGTGTTGCATATTTTTACGGCAGAACATCAGTTTCGTTTAATGTAACAGTAACGATATTTAAATACGAAATTGACGACGCGATTCTTTCAGTTCAATCCGAAAATTACAGATATTTGTTTAGTTTTGGTCATTTGCATTCAACAGTTAGATTTGTGCCACACAATAATCAGTTAATATTTATAAAACCTAAATTATTACACCGATTTTTCAACTAGTGTTTAGGAAGGGGCCTAATTTGAAGCACCAGAAGTTGCGCCAATATTTCTCAGCTTGACTTCCATAGATGAATATGTCACGTGTATCAACATAACAATGCACATAAGCAACTGGTAAATAAGTAACGAAATATACCTGATGTTTTGACCTACTGAAGGCGTATCCAGATAATATTGTACTTACGATAAACGAAAACTCCAATACACATATTCCAAGACAACTTTAATTATGAATTTCCTTTTCTTTCACAGAATTTTCACACACAAAACTGAGTTTGATCATTAGATCCACACTTGTCCCATGTATTTTTTGTTCGGGGTATTTGGATACACTTCGCGCACAAGTTTTAAAATACAATCTGGGATCCCTTTCCCGTTTTGTCAACACCAATCCTTCATCTGCTGCAACGTTTAATTCCGTTTCTTCAAGTCCAAGTATCTACGATCTCTCCAAACACTTCGTTTATTTAGCTCAGTCCAGAAACAATGTGTTCGAATCGACGAATTTCTGCAACATGGTGGCCGCACCATTCCCTAACTGCGATTGCCTGTGCCGTGTCACGCATGGTTGACAAAAGAAGTGTGAACATACATATTCGGCTTCATCTGGTTCCAAAATGAAATCTAGCTGTGACACTGATTCACTAATCCCAAGAATCGGCACTGAATTTATCAAAGTTTCTGTTGCACTTGCAAGGGCGGGAAGAGAGGCGCCATCTTGTCGATTCGAGTTGTGAATCGGAATGATGTCATCTTGAACTGGAACCTTCTCCACGATAAAGTCACCAATGTCACAATCGAAATGACCTAAGGCTCCCTGATTATCTCGAACAATTCTTCGTCAAATTCGGCTCCACATGAAAATGTTCTGTTGCTTATATTGAAGACAAGCGAAATTGCAAAGTTCTTGACAGTTGTAAGCAGCAACTCGATGCGCTCATGGGGCGTGGTTGCTAGGAGATCGCGTGTTCAGAAAGGCGAAAATAAAAAGTTTTAGAAAGTTATAAAAGAAATACCCAGTGCAATGAAAAAGTACCATGTACAGGATATTTTTTAATAATAATATTCACGAAAAAAATCTTTTCTAAAAATGCAAAATAATTTATTAATTTATCCCAAGGTCGTAACCCTGATCACGTGGTGGGTATTCGGAAGGAATCTTTGCGATGACGCCGTGAATGAGGCCGTGTGTATTACATTGTTGAATTCGACTGCCCAGGAAGATTGTTGAGGCATTAACATTATGACAGATGTTCGTCATGGATGGAGAGAAAAATGTATCTGAGAGAAACATTGTTGCTTTGAGCTTCGAGACAAAACACTACTGAAGTAGCCAGCGACCTGAATGTAAGCTTGATGAAAGTAATGTTGAAACCCATTTTCACGCACATGACAGAATTAATGTGAACAAATATTTATCTGAACATTGTTTCGTAGTCTATGAGGCTGTCCGTTTTTTAATATTTTTATCTCCATTCCGACGTGAAATAATATAATGTCTTCGTGTCTCAATTTTGCTGCCGCTGTGGAAAATTGCGCACCGATCTAATAAAAGAAATACTACTAGATCTACAATTGCACCGTCATAAAAGAACCAGGTCAACTTTATCTTTGTTCCCATGTTTATTAAAAATTCTTTTCCGAAAAAAGCGAATCGATCTACATCATAAATTAATTCATAGACTAGATTCTAGTACCAAGTGTTGAACCTTTTTTTAAATGTCATAAAATTACTTACACAATTATTGAAAGACATTTTTTGATAAGTCTGTCATATATTTTATTTCGTCCGCCCGCTCTCGACGAGGCTTGAGGGGAGAAACACATACAAAAAATATGGATGGCCTTATGCAAATGACACTTGGCATGCCAATCAACAGGGATCTGGGTCACTGGGACCCGCCAAGTTTCACGAATCGAGTTACTTCGGCATGAGGAGCTTCATCGGACAAGTGTGACTTTGCCAAAATACATTGCTACTGGGCAATGAAAAAACGACAAGAAACTACTTTGATCACTTGAAAATATTTTTGACCATTACCAGGGTTTTTTACACGATCGTTGTCATCCAGATTCCAGATGAGGCAAGACGAACACAACGAAGAAAAACATTGTTGAAATCACCGATTGCCGTATATATTGTGAGAAATGCTATTTGTAAACTGCAGATATACCGTACACCACAGGATAGCGATTGGTGCCCCAACACATATTATGTTTCTTCATTTACACTGCTCATATGCATCACGACAAACGTATTTCGTTCTAGAACTATAATTTGTGTGTTGGATAAATCGTGGACATTCCACGGTATCATTTTATGAAGATGTGAAGACGACATGGCAGGTAGGTTTTGAAACCAAAGACGTACGCGTTTGTTGAAAAGTCTTGGAATCGTTTGGTAGATATTTATATTATCATTAAAACTTACGTCCTTGTTGTCAAACGACCCACGTGGGTGGGTGTTTACATGACGTCACCCGTTTACGCATTAACCAATGAAATGTATGTGTTATCATGACGTCATATAGACCTGTCAAATCACTTTTATAAGCTCCGCCCACTAGAGTGCGGTAGTTACTACCGCAGATGGGGCTTTAAACATTATTGTATGTGGCGTGGCCTCCACGATAGGTACACAAAGTGTATGAAATTTGAATAGCGTCGCCAGCTCATTCGAGAACAGATTATAGAACAATACACTTACTTCAAAACAAATTTCGATTGGCAAAGAACCTTTTTTCCCAATATACTACAACACGTCAAAGCCGGAGAATAACCAGTCTCGATTATCGTACGAAACAGATTGTATTCGACGTAAAATGCAAAATAGTGGTGAAAATTATGTGCATGGATCCCCCCTTTTATCAAACCATAAAAGTCATCGGCCATATAAACAAGAAAGTTGAGTGTAAACTTGAATAAAACTGAGACATAACGCAGACCTAGGAATGATTGCATCGAACATTTCTGGGCACTTGTTCCATGAAAGGAATGTCAGTTTTCGATCTTTCTAGAAAAGTGCACGTTTGTACATTCAAATCCAATTATCATCGAGGGAACATACTTACTAAATAGTAATTAGTAAAACCGGTTTTTGGACGTAGTGCATATTTTCTTTGAAAGTGCGTTTCGAATTAATGAATTTCGATTAGTCAAGCAGTGTAAGCTCCCTTTTCGAACTACACATAAAGCGGTTTTGCGGACTCGTCTTATAACTTTCATAACGATTTCTCTTGCATACCGCAAGTATTCCTCTCACATCATGCATATCTAGATGTCCTTAACAAACCTCGTCCAATTGCGAGGTGTCATCATGTTAGACGTACACATAGATTTTGAAGAAATGATTCACATGCTCACATCCAGGTTATCTACGTTTTCGGGCGGCCCAGAATGGTCCCTATTGGGCTGTCATAATGACGGTGTATCGTGCAACAAATGTCACAAATTACGTCATAAGGCATTGTGACGTGACTGTAAACTTTGTGGTGCAGTTTCCCGTTCCACAAGGCGATCGTAGCGCAACAACAGTCGTAAGTCTTTGTTATAAAATTGTATGGGAGTTACGATTACCCCAGCTCACGACAGCTTTGTGGAACGGACCCGTAAATTCTAAAGGTAGGCTATTGTATGGTACGAAGTTAATACGTGTCTGTCATTAACTTTTAATGTGTTTTGAAGTTACTGTATTTTTCTGTTGAACTCAATTGGATGATGGTGTGGAGTGAGTGAGTGAGTGAGTATGGTTTTACGCCGCTTTTAGCAATATTCCAGCAATATCACGGCAGGGGACACCAGAAATGGGCTTCACACATTGTACCCATGTCGGGAATCGAACCGGGGTCTTCGGCGTGACGAGCGAACGCTTTAACCACTAGGCTACCCGACCGCCCCGATGATGGTGTGGATCGCATAGATGTATGCCCATTTACACAATACAGTGAAATTTAAGAAATAGTTTTAAACGGCAAGTAAAAGAATTGATACAATACTCGCTGCCGTGTTATAGCAATCTTATGACACTCGTGAATAGTTCTGGCATCTGACGAGTTTAATATTCTGTGTTTATCTGGACATAACGGTTAAGCTGCAAGAGCAAGTGGACTTTGTATTGCGTTATGGTACTTTAGTACACCCTCTGTTTGTCTTACAGCACAGTAAAATATACTGGACCCACGAATAGGCCTATGAACACATTACCGTAATATCCTTTTATAACACGTGGCCAAATTACCAAGTGCCAACATAACCAAAACATTTACCTGTTCTCTAACTCTACGTTATTGGTAAAAATGACAGGCTGTGATGATGCTTCCAAACTCAAGTAAGTTATTACAGTTATATAGGAAACACAGAACACTGACATATGCCTTCTTGTATTCACAGGGCTCGAATGCAGGGTATGGTGAATATAACGGGTGACTGTTTTGCAGCTTCTATGCTAGATCACTTCTTCCCATACACCCCCGTTGGTCAAACAGACGTCGATGATTCCATGCCCTCTGAAGACGAAGAGGAAACCGTGAAAGCGGATACAGACGTATAAGATGGGCAACTCCGAGATCAAGTAGTTTGTATAAAATAAAAGTTTAAAATACTGTGCATTACACTTGTAAATATAGGCCTAAGAGCAGAACATATAGATTTCATAGGCATGTAATGCCAGACGTTCGAATTGCGTTCGGATGATCAATGAGCGCTCTGTCACCTAAATAATGTATAGTGTGATTATTATCATTATTTTCCAAATGTTGAGAAGCATTGATGTATCACCTAGACTTGTGTTGATGAGAGCAGTGAAGTGGGTCAAAAACATTTCACTACATTGGGACTAACTATTAATAAGATTAAACGGATTTAAAATAGCCAAGAGAAAGATATTTTGAAGTATATGAAGTGTCACATTTTTAATAACATTAAAAACTTGTCGTTGTACTACTTCGTTGTGCAGCTACATTCATAGCTGTGATTAATAGTTTGTCGGAACTCTATTTTTCTGGTTGTATCGTGTTTTCATTAAAAACAGGATAAGAGTTCATTAGAAATTCAGAAACCAATCAGAAACGTGTTCCCACGGTGCCATTGGGAGAAGTCCATCAACCTCAGTACAGGAAATGGCGTTGTGTGTTCACATGTACTTCCACACCTGCGTAAACACCTTAAGATCTTAAGAGTGCTACACAGCATGTACCGTGACGTCAACATAAATGACATTGTTGGGAGCTGCCAAAAGTAACACACATACCGTGAGCTTATGACTGTTTGGGTTATTCTCACATTTTCAAAGAATCTACTGCTGGTTTGATTGTGTGGCTATATTGGCTATGGCAGCATCATAGCTGGTTGAGGGAGGAAATTGCGTTATGACGTATAAAACTCATTCACAATACATACTGTCTTTGTCTTATTTTCACACGTGGAACACGTGATATTGTTGCATAGCGCACAGGAGAAGTGAAGCAACATCGGCTGCAGAGTGAGTGAGTGAGTATGGTTTTACGCCGCTTTTAGCAATATTCCAGCAATATCACGGCGGGGGACACCAGAAATGGGCTTCACACATTGTACCCATGTCGGGAATCGAACCCGGGTCTTCGGCGTGACGAGCCAACGCTTTAACCACTAGGCTACCCGACCGCCCCTCGGCTGCAGAGAGATGGACTGGTGACTGAGCCTGACAACGGAGAGATTCAACGTCTTGAATAAGATGCTTTAAGATGTTATGTTTCCGTAAGACAAGTGACTTTATTCGAAACATGTCTCTGTTCACCCAGCGCAGCAAATGAGTATCAGCAGGATGAAATAGTAATGTGGCTATTAACCTTCTAGCACCTCATAAATACATTGCATATTAGCTGAGCAGAATGAAATTTGCAAACTGATCCATTCTTCTTCTTCATCATCATCATTATGATTATTATTATTATTAATTTATTCATGTACTTTGGAAGGGAAACTTTAAATGTTGAATATCTCAAATAAGCTTCATAAGTCTGTATAAATAGATGTTTGTTAAGTCGATGTTATAGTTGTACTGAGTCCTGGCATATTTTAATATAATTCAATTTGTTACTACGGTAAAGTGGCACAGGAATTTCCATTTGTATTACAAATGTTTCCTATTCATTTAAAGTTTAGATAGTGCTTATATAAAACTAGTTTCATTGTAATGCAATTATTCCCAAATCCTGGAATCAATTTGATGAATGTAAATAATAGCTTTCGGAATATGCATTTAATTTCCATAAAGTATTTTTGTTTCCTCTGAATTTAATGGAAAACACTCAGTTTTCACTGATAAAAGAATCATTAAGAACATGATTGATCGCGGCCAAATACATATGGTACTCTATATGTAAATTAAAAATGCGACAAAACCCTTTCCCTAACCACTTAGCATATCTGTTAAAAATGAATACCATGTGATCGCGAAAAGGTGAGCGTATTCTGCACCACAGGTGACAACCGTCACAAACACTTTAACAGGCAAGTCAAGTAATCACCTGAACAAATACGGAAACATATGGAACAAGTACAAATAGGAAATTGTAAAGGACATGATTTAGGTCACAGATACGTTTTGAACATATTTTGAATGGTTTACTTATGTCTAGAAAGCTGTACCACTGACCAAACACCTTTTGAGCAAGGATCTTAAGATGCTCCGTGAAATATTCGAAGAAATAACATGCTCGATTCTACATCAAGAGTTGTGAAATGTAGACCAGAAAGGTTGGAGCTACTGGAAAGTTGACTATGGAAAGTTTAAGTCATCCCACAAGTCATATATTCTTCTGGATCGGTTGGTCAATGGAAGAGAATTAGCTACTTAACCATCACTGAATGATATCAGACCATCGATATACCTGGAACGTGTTAAGTGGAACGTCTTGGTTCCATCTTTTGATTTTGCAAATCCGAGCACCCATGTTGGCAGTGATTTCTTATGAATTTGGAAAAGGTTTTGTTGTTTTTATTATGCTTTATCTTTGAGAAAGGGGTTTTGTAATTTATTTCCTAGATCCCGCAATGTATCTCGCAATACATATGTACGATTTTTATGAACCTCTGTTATCCAGTACTAGAGATGTAATTAGGTTTTAGGCAGCCCAAAAGCTTTCGGTACTGATTCGTGGTTTTGACGGAAAAACGTCATCGGATGACAGTGAGAAGAGGAATCGCAGTCAGCTGTATTCAATGTGTCCCAAAACCTTTGGTATCGTTACCAACAATAGGACAATATGACCGACCCAGGTGAAGAAATGCGACAAAGTCCCTTCAATAATCTTAGGAAATCATTCATTCTCAAGGTAATGATAACACATATATCATGTTCACCATTAGTCCGTTGCACGATTCCGACTAAACCCATGAATCACTATCAAATAGTGTTGATACCAGGTGTTCGCTTTAAGGTAACCAGATACTGCCCCAAGGTAGCACCCGACACAAACACATGCAAAGGCAAGTCAATTATTCACCTGAAACAACACGGGAACATAATTATGGTACAAGAAAAAATATGCTGATGCTTCAAATTTGCATATGTCCCATCCTTCACGTCTCTATCATATTACATTTTAAAAGCGTCACTGAGGCATAGAATGGTGGAAAGAGCATGTTCGACTGTACCACTGAAGTTATGAAAAGTAACAGTTAAGGCTGGAGCTGTTGACATATTGTTCGACATAAAGGGAAAGTTGTCTTTTGGAAAATTGAAGTCATCCCTCTCGTCATACAGCCTTGTGGAGCGTATTTTGTCACTCTGAATCTTTATGCTTAGATATAGTAATGAGGCGGCCTCACTGATCTCTTTTATTTCTTGATCAGGTAGGTCAATCAATGCAAGGGAAATAGCTATTTGATGGTTATTGAACGATATCAGATCATCGATACACCTGAAGCTTAAGTTAAACTTCCTGGCCAAATTTTGTTTTCACTTTGACAAACCGAGCAGAAATTCTGATTCATGTGCATGAAGAACCAGAACAGCAAGAAGGGGAGCACAATTGATGCCCATGGGAATGCCTTCTTCGTGCCTACATTGGTGACATTATGACTTTAAGGAAGCCTTTCTATTATTTCGCGTGGAATCAGACTCGAGGGAATTGCAGTATTTTATCTGGATGTAGTGTAGAATATGTATAATATAAAGCAAAAAATACCCATAATATTTAATCATACCAGAGAAGGATTAGACATCGTACCCAGGATATAATATCTTCCCTCCGTCAATCCCTACAATGTTAGCAGGTTAGCAGGATAATTGGAAAGCAATAAAATAATGTATGAAAAAAAATCTCGACCTTATGGGGCTGTTGACTTGAATTTCGCAAGCATGTCGGTAGTAGGATACAAACGAAAATTATTTGGATAAGAATTGTCAGTCGAGGGCCATTTTTAGGCTTCTCTCTTGATCCTATGACGAGGGCGAGGTATACGGGCCTTCTTGAACCCAAAGAAAATGAACAAAATATAATAATTATATATATGTCCACATCTAATAACCTTTATGAGATTTTAAAAAGTTTCATCAATTTCTTTAAATTATACAGGGGCAAGGAACCCTATTATCATACCTGGGCTGTCAAATCATAAGCGTCTTGTGTTTGATGCCAATGTGGTCATGGTGGAGTAAGCTTGTATGATTGTATTATACTATATTTTCAAAAAAAAATATTTTGTTGATTGATCCCTGTAATTGACATAAAACATTTGATTCAATGCGTCAGTATGACGATTGAAGCTTCAAAGTGGACACTGCTATTTTGGGGCAGGTAGGTTTGGGGTTTTACCTTTTCTCAGCAGCATTCTTCAGTTCTATCATGGGAGCGAAATATTGGAAACATTTTAACGCGAAGCAGGGTTTAGACGTTTTTCATTTTGGTCAAACCCAGGAGCATGGGTTTTGTGCTCACAAACCAAAAATCATATAGGCTGTATGAGGCGTTTCAACAAGTCATTAGCTAATACCGGATTTGTTCCTTGTAGTACCACCCACTCTATCTTGACTTCGGACAGGGATTTACAAAATTATATTTAATTTGTCAAGGATATTCCAAAGACACATTTGGTGGATTATGCTTTCTTTTTTCACTCGTAAGCATTTGTGCCCAGCAAACCTATAAATACTGATTGTGGTTTTGATCATTATTTGCAATGGACGAGTGAATGAGTGAACCATGGCGGTCATATGTATTAACAAATTGAAACAATGTACTCTACCCTATTTGAAAAAAGGATTGAAATGACAAGATATGATAACCGTTGGTTCTACATAATTTATTTTTGAATTGAAGAGAACAATTTCAAATCATTATGGCAATTGTCAGCTTTCTCCACAAAGAATGAGGGTTACAATATGTTCATGTCAACAATTGCATGTATGGGAGTTTCGATAACTCTTAATACATGGTAAGGTTAAGATGTGTCAAAATGATGACTTTGGACGTTTTCATGAAGCGTTAATTGTCTTAAATGCAGATGAAAACAGTACAACATGGAAAATACATGATCATGGGTCGCCTATACTTTCCATTTGAATATCGAAAAACTGCCCAATTTCACTGATTTTAAACAAGCGAATGTATTTGATCATGTCAGCTGTTAAAAATGCGGAAGTATTACATATCCCGGGGATCTCCACGTTTGGCAGAGATGTATGTGTAGGTAGAATTGGGACCTACACATGTCTGTAGAGGTAGAAGTGGGACCTAACAGATAGTTTCCATTTTTGCTATGTCATGACACTGGCTGTGATTCAACCTTTACATCTTTACAGGGTAATGCTTGCTTTCACAAAAGTTAAAATGATGTCATGGACAAAATAGATTGAAACAGGTGCAAACTATCTTGGCATATATGGCTTACTAGGCTTGTCAAAGAAATTTGTTGATTACTTCGGCAATCAAATCTCATTTAAAGATGGGCCTCACTCTCCTACACAAAGGTCCCTGTGGTCCACCTGTTACCTTTGTTATAGACCAGAGACACGGTAGCGCATTTATTGATTTAGTGGAAACTGCATTCGATTTGTAAATCTTGAATTACATTTGCTGTGCACAAGTGCAGAGATTCTGTTTCTTATATGTTCAGGCTCGTGATATGTTATGGAAATAACATGCTCTTAAATATTGTCTTCACCGATACTGCTGGACTAAATGAATAAACTTGTTCAAGTAAGCATAATAGTCACATAACTTATATGTGGCAGTAAATGAACACGTCATGCTCTTATCAATTCATAATTCAGGTGAGTCTTGTGGCTCCTTTTCTGAAGTGATGACACAGACCAATATTCTTTCAAATAGTTTTAATGAAACCAGAAAGCAAAGAAAGGAAAATAGATCTTTCAGATCATATGCTTCAAAATGAAAATTTCTTCATTACAAGGTACAATTTAGGAGGTCAGTTGTTGGCACATAACGCGACTGAGGCGTCGATCGTCGCAGAATATCCTTATCATGTCTTGACTGACACTCCAAGTAAGCATAACCTGTTTTTGGTTTACATTCATCAAGGTTATTGATGCCTCCTTGGGTGTCCTACCTCTTTGCATCAGGTTTCAATTCTGGCTAACAACACTGTCTCGGATAAGAAGTGGAAATATTTGTGTGTCAAGAGCAGGTTTAGTTGCAGCATTCACTTGTGAGTTACGTGCCATGTCAACATAGAGGGAACCACTGAAATATGATGCCACATTTGCCTGTGAAAATACAATTATGCATTTCTAAAATATGTTGCATGCATTGAAGACGCAAGCGCATATATGTGCATACAGGAGGAAGCTACATCTATGAGGTAACGAATAGATGCAGGTTATTCATACCAACACAATTGAAATAAACACTGGATAATGAAAGTGGATTGGGTTTGTCTTTTGTGCTCAGGAGAAATGAGTTGGTGGCATAGTGTTTTCAAGAACACACAATCACTCATCACAATAAAGTCAACACATTTTTATTACCTAATTAATAAAGGTTACACGGCTGAGCTACAATATTTGACACATAGAATACAAATTGAAGTGCATCTTTCGGAAATCCAGAAATTGTTAAATGTATTTTGTGTTTCCCTTACTCTAAATTAAATTTGACCTATCAAGCATTGTTCACAATAAAAAAATGAAAAGAGAAATGGGCCGCGATGGCCTCACACCAGTTCACTCTCGAGCATCACCTGCTCCTCACGTAGCGGCTCACTTTGTGTCTCTGACTGGTCACGTGGAGGAAGATTCGTGTAACGGGAGACAACTCCTACGACCAGGCAATCACTAGCCACATTTACCATGGTGCGAGTTCTATCTCTGGAGAAAGAGAATGAGAGAGTGTCTATGAGAGAGTAAATATCGTTTATGCCTTAGTAGACAGTATTCCAACTGTAACAAAGGGACGTGTATATTATCGAGGCTATGCCAAGCAAACCAGTTGAACATAATAATATCTCATGTATTGCGAATATTGAAACATTTTGATTCATCAACAGAATGAAGTAGACAAGTCATACAATCTCTGAGATCTATCGAAAAAATAATTTAGTTACAGTAAAACAAGATATCAACTATTTCCCCTCAAGTTATACGAGATCTGACATATATAAAATTTCTTTTTAGTTACACTAAAGGAAACCAGTAACTGTTCACCCTCTATTCACATCAATATGCTCACTTTAAGGGTTCGCAGTAACAATTAGATTAAACGTAGTTATTGCCTATAGGGATATTAAAGTGAGGATAACTCACAACAGCCATTCTACCGTGATCAGGAACGAGACGCCTCGATCCGGGAGTCCAACAGATTTAAGGACAAGCAGCAGGACAGCTAAACCCGCACCTGGCACACCAGCAGTTCCAACACTGCTGAGAATAGCTGTTAAACTGGAACAAATATTTCGATGTTTTAACTGTTGCAATTATGACATCTCAAATGACTATTAAGTATAGTACTTCTCGAGCGGACTTTTGTCTGTTCACCTTTCACCATTTACCTTGGAACTAACTGTTTCAGCTCATCAACATACCTTACAACTATTACATCTCCAAATGACAGGCTGACTCCATTGTACTGTGCTATGAACACAGGCCCAATGGCAGCATACACAGCACCGGCGTCCATGTTGATTGTGGGAGTCAGGATGGTAGAGGTGGAAGCTATGTGGCTTATGGTGCCATATGAATGTCAATATGGACTATTACTATGATAAAGAAGACACCAAAAGACGTTTGGTAAATAAAACAACTTTCAAACTTTTGTCAGTGTTACAGGGTCATGAACATACCTAACAATTATTACATCTCCAAATGACAGGCTGACTCCATTGTACTGTGCTATGAACACAGGCGCAATGGCAGCATACACAGCACCGCCGTCCATGTTGACTGTGGCTCCTGCTGGGAGGACGAAACGGGAAATTCGTGTGTCTATCTTCATCCGCTCCTCGACGCACTGCATGGTCACCGGCAGCGTGGCAGCACTGCAAGCAGACAAAGTAATTATGTACATGAGGCTGAGACTCACGTTCGATACAAGTCCTTTTCTGATCAGTGCACACTATCTTGAATTATATAGATATGCATTTCCGTTCGAAGTTGTCAGCTTCGTCATCGGGGATGCTGTGCTACAGATGTTATTTCACAGACGCGTACGTTTATAAACAACTGAGCCATTCAATAACTTGAGCAACAGTTAACATTGCACAATAAATATATGTTCTGCATGAATACACTATGTGCCTCGTCCAAGGAAAGGTAAGTACACAGTTTGGTGATAAATATTTTGATACTTTCTGAGAAAGTGTAACCACAACCTCTTATGCCCAAAACATTAGCATTGTAGACATGAGAAACATAACCGGCAGAAGTGGCGGCAGTCAAATCAGATAAAACCATAGCCATGTAACTGAAAGATAAACCGAGTTAAGATGTAGCTGGGGAAGTTATACCTGGAGGCAGTTGCAAAGGCTGTCAGAAGAGCTTGCACTATTTTGAGGTATATGGCAAATGGGTTTTTTCTTGTCAGGATGAAATACAAGCCTGGAAGGACCACCAGTGAATGGATTGCCAATCCGGCCAACTCAGTTGCAATGTAGATAGCCAGTGTTTGTCCAGTCTCCGTCATGTCAGTTGTGGACATTATCTGGCCCATGATGAGAAACAGTATGCCAAACGGTGAATACCTGGAACATAAAAAAATGTTGACTAATTTGGATTGAATAAACAGATTCGGTGATTGTGTTGTTGTCTTACTCCGATTTCAGCAATATTAGAACATTTTCACGAGTGCCTGTACATCAGTGGTTGATAATATGAGCTGCGCTGTTTATTTAGAATGGCATGCAATCAACCAAGTCTTTGAGCCTGACCCACATGCAGCTAGCATGGACATTCATTGCTGCCACATCGGCAGTTTGCATCCTCCATTAAACCTTTTCTAAATAAATAATGTACTGTCACCAATTTTATTTGTATGTTACTTTTCCCGGGACCAAATGAGTAATATGACGGACCTGTATATTTACAGATAAATCCGAAAACCTTTAAATAATACTGTGCCACATGAAGAACATATCAGGTGTGAAAGGTTACATGTAATGTTGAGATGTCAGTTGAAGTTGAGTCTACTCACCACATAACAAGTCTGATCATTTTTAGGGTGACGGTATTGATGACAGTAAAGAACTCTGTCACCACTGTTCCACTACGACCGAGTTGGCTGAGAGTCACACCAAAAACAATGCAGTACATAAGTACTCCTGTAAGGAGAATATTAGGGAATTAAAGAACATCACACATAATACCCATGATATACCCATGACAAACGACATTGTCAGACATTTACTGATTTCCGAATGGCCGTCCATGTGCACATTGATTGCGAAAGGATAAAACAGGATTTAATTTGGATCTGAACATTAGTGTAGCTAGTTAAACTTAGGTCACTGCTACTGTCAATATATACATATCAATCAAATGCAACCCTTCCTCAACCGACAGTATAGTGAGGAAATGTTCAGCACGAGGTAGTGCGGGTCATTCATTCTGTACTATCGGCACATGCGCGTATTAATAAAAGCGACGATCCCGACTATAACATGAGCATGGGTTTATGAATCACTTTCAAATATTGATGATACCATTTGTTTGCGACCCGGGAAGATCCGGGTAAGAATAGGTCTTCAGCAACCCATGCTTGCCGTAAAAGGCGACTATGTTTGTCGTAAAAGGTGACTAACGATAACGGGTGGTCAGGCTCGCTGACTTGGTTGATGCATGTCATCGATCCCAAATGCGTGGATCGATGCGCATGATGTCAATCACTGGATTGTCTGGTCCAGACTCGATTATTTACAGACCGCCGTCATATAGCTGGAATATTGCTGAGTGCGGCGTTAAACAACAAACCAACCAACCAGGTGTTTGCGAATAGGTGAGGGTATCCTGCCCCTCGGGCGGCCCCCGTCACAAACACATTGTAAATTGTTCACCTAAAAAAGCACGCGAACATATGGTGAAATTAGGGAACTGCGTCGGACATAATTTTTGTCACAAATATGTCAAATTTGGAAATAACAACAACACTTTTTGAAAGCTTTGACTGAGGCCTTAAATGTTTGTCAGACGACTTCTGAGCAAGAGATGTATGACGCTCTTTGAAATCTTGGTAGATTGAGTGTGTTCGATTATACCTCAATTGTGAAAACACTATTATACCTGTCCGATTTTACCATTTCAGTAATCTTTGGCTTGAGAAGAACTGCCGTTTTGTAACATGTTACAGGGCACCGTAGGCCAATCTACAAGGGATAACAAGCAAAACGACGGTCCCTTCAGCAATGCTTCGTAATTATTCAGATTTGAAGGAACGACTTGCATGCGAACAAACATGATTTATTGTTGAAGCGTTACTGTGCCACAGAAACGATGCATTTCGCGTCTGCAAAAGGCACGTGTGATGATGCCCAGATGACTGCTGTATCTGACCTGATTGTCGTGAAGAAACCGAAAGTGGAAACAAAAAGTGCTTCGAGCGAGGCAAAGGCTGTGATCCCGGACGTGATCAAGGCTGGTGGCCAGGAGGTCACTACTATTTTGAAGGCATCTGAAGGGCAATCTCAAACTGAACACAACACATACGAAAACTGTGAACGTGAGAAATCATTTATTTGACCACCTTAATTAGTGGGTTTAAAGTCAGACTTTGGATTAATCTCTTTAAAGCCAAAAATAAGGTTTAGAAATGAAAAGGGCTTTTGAAACCTTAGGTTTGAAATGAAATGTTTCAAAACCTAGGCTTTGAAATACGACACCTAAATATATAAGTATGTTGTTTTAAAATCTGGACTTTGACAGGGTGTTTCAAAATCTGGGTTTGGAAGTTAAGCCAGTAACCAATTACTTCAGCAATCTAGGTTCATGGAGCCTCACACATTGCCGACCAATCTGCTGATAAGTTTATAGGGTAGAAATTCCACGGCGACAGCGACAAATATATCTCTCAATTTCCAGAATAGTTACTTTTAAGTGCACCGAAATACTTCAATTAAAGTTGAGTTGTGAGCAAACAAAAAGGAGTTCCAGTCGTGTCAAAATATATTTCTGATAATGATATGTTCCTGTTATTAAATGTAAAAGTGAATGGGTTAAACATTGGTGGCATGCAACTTTCCATGACATTCTCCAATGTGAACTTGTGCATTCCACTTCCCAAAAACGGATTTGGGACTCTCTGTACATGTTGTTTGATCATTAAGAATACCTAAGATATTTGCACCATCAACCAGCTGTGTTTTTCTTGTTGAAGATAGTTGATTTGTCATGTTGACTTCTGTAGAATTTTCAGTATCATTCAAGAAATCATAACTGAAGCTGCCACCATCCTCTGTCCTTGTCACAGTGCTTGAGTGTTGGGATGTTGCAGCAACTATGTTGTCTGGCACTATGTTCCTAAGGAATAATGTATGAGTGAACGTGGTTTCGAATTGATTTTAATGTTTAAACCGTAGGATATTTTCATGGTGTAAGAAGCAAGACCAACCAGCTTAAAGGATAAGAAACTTAACAAATACACGTATATGGAACGATTACATTCACAATTCTAACGTTACCAGCACATGTATTGGCCCTCCTTAATGTTGTATTCAAACCAAGGTGTTGCATCAAAGAACTCGTGGATGTCTTTCTGGGATAGATTTATCCCACAGACATTTTTGGTCCAATGATCATTCTCACAACTGAGGTTGGTATGTTGGTATGAATGATTTTTGTTTTGATACATCTTTGTTAGGTACAGATTTTGTAATGGATCATGTGATATATACGTATAGTCCTATGTATTAAGTAAGAAAAAACGAGGACAACTCTAAAATAGCATTCTCTGTCAGATGTTTGTTCAAATTGCAGCGAGTTCAATTGTATACCCATATGTCTGAAATAACACATACACTTGTTCTTTAGTAACCACCTTTAGTATACATGTGACATGTACCTATTTCTCGTAAATATCTTACCTCAACAAGTCCAAAAAAATATCAGTTGTTGACGTCATGGCGTTGTTGTGTGATATATAGGCTGTTGACGAGTCTGAGTAAGCTCCAGGTTTGATGGTCAGGACTACTGTCAAGCCAACCAGTGTTGCCACAACAGAGGTACTTGCGTAATAAACCATAGACAGTACACCTATCCTTCCGGCAGATGATCCTTTCATATTCCCAAGACCTTTGAGACAGCATAAGATTCACTTCATAGTTATACAGATATAGTTTACATCGCAAAAAGAGCTTTTATATTATATATTATATCCAGTCAGTGCTGCAAAAGGAACTAGCAAAGACATATTACTGAGACGTACACGTTACATTAAATGTATGTATACACATATATACATTTGAAATAACTGGTTACAAGGGAAACGCAGGTAGACACACATGTGACTTTATCGTTTCTTGCAATTGTAAGAGTTAATGTGTAAGTAAATTTGGTTTATCGTTGCTTAGAAAAGTAGTGCAGGTATTCCAGTATGTGTCACTAACATTGGAGGAATGCCTTTGTCACGTAGATATTAAACGTATATTGCTTTCGTGAAACTCATATGTGGTCATGGTGCTAGCGCTGAGAAACTAAGGTGAATCATTGTGAATCAAGGATCCCTAACGACCTCCATCGGATTCCAGCACCCAATCAGAGACGCAATTCTGCTGAGGATGAATCACATAGATTTCTCCATAACGGTATAAGGTCCTTGGAATAATACGCTCACTGGCCATGCCATGAATATTTTCCATGAAATAACACTTTACAATTCTTAGCTGTATGGGAAACAGCTCCGGTTGGAAACATTGAGGGATAGCCCTATTATGTAAACAATTTATCTTATGGTCACTTTTCCCCCTTTCATCCTATAATGATGACAAGAACGTAGAAACATCACCTGTAATGATACTAGCTATTATCAGAGGCAGCATCAGCATCTTCAGCATACGAAGGAAAAGCTCTCCAGGAAACTGCACAAGATGAATAGTGTCAGAGGACGGCTTGAGGGGCCGGCACACCATCCCAGCAACAATTCCCAGTACAACAGCGAGAAGTGTAGAGATGAGGAGGATGTTGTGTCGGAGAAACTGAAGGACCTTCATCTGCCATAAGATCAAGAGTATGGTTATACATGTATAAGCTTATAAACATACCGATTGTAAATAGATGACGTTTAATTTGTCTTTCAGTACGACAATCCCAGTGCTCACTGTGCACGAATCGTCAAATCTCATTTCAAGCAGCACAACATCCATAGAATACCATGGCCAGCAATAAGCCCAGACCCTACTCCCATTGAACACGTCTAGGGCATGAAAGGGAGACGTGTGCGTCAAGGTCATTGGCTGCCGACCATGTTGGCTGAACTTGGCAGGACGCTGCAAGAGGAGTGGGTAGACTCCCTAAATCGCCATTGGGAGACTCATACGCAGTATGCCTGTTCGAGTGAATGCATGTTTGACAAATCGTGGTGATATAACCCACAACTGATCCAAAAACGTCAGATTTCCCATCTTACCCCCATCGTCCTTCAAGATAGCTAGCAGCCATAACATCTACTGTTATACTTAACTACCGACTTTGTCGTAAATTCGTTTATTGTTACCATACAACCACACCAGAAACTAATATATCTCTTTCAATTCTCTCTAAGTTATTTGTGAATATCCCCTACCTTTGACCGGAAACGTTTTAATGGTGTAAGTGGAGGAATAGGTTGTTCAGTTGTAGTTTGGAAATGTTTCAGTCAAGAACAAAGCCATATGATGTCTAATTTGTTGGGTTATTGTGTAAATTGTCATTTAAGGACTATAACAAAAGTAAGCACCTCAACATGCACGTACTTCGTACGCAATTCGCATAAGTAAAACTTTTCTATCTCTGAATTTCGCAGATGACAGATGCTCTCGTCTGGAATGGAGGGAGTGAGTGAGTATAACGCCGCTTTAAACAGTATTCCAGTTTTATCGCGGCGTGTCAGCTTAATATGGGAGGAAAGCCCGAAGTGATGCAAGTCTGAGACGTTTACCACTTTGGTGAAACCCACGAGCTCGGGTATGGTGCAGACATATCTAGAAACATAATAGGGGCGAATCGGGAACCACAATCGTAGATTTCTGGCGTGCCCAAGGGACGCAACTCTGCACAGCCTTAGACGACTGGGCCACCCGTGCCCCCTCTTCTGGACTGGAGGAGGTCGACCATTTTAACTATCTTTTATTATAAACTAAGCGGCAAAAGAAAGTATAGGTTGGCAATTTGTAATTTTCATAAAAAAGACAGCGATAACTAGTGGAAAGTGGGTATTGGGAATATGACTGCCCAGGAACAGGAACCAAAAACACCTCACCCGAACGCGCCACCTTTGACGGCGCTCGTGCGGTGACAAAAAAATGGTGAAACAGGTTTCACGCCTATGGCATAAACTGCACGTGCATGTTAGCTGTATACATGCGTTCGTCTGCAGGGTATGACCACACGTGATGAAAGCACACAAAAGAAATGCCACGACTGTCACAGGAGCAGAGAGAGAGAGAGAGAGAGAGAGAGAGAGAGAGAGAGAGAGAGAGAGAGAGAGAGAGAGAGAGAGAGAGAGAGAGAGAGAGAGAGAGAGAGAGCGAAATGGGGGCAACACAGTTCCAAATTGCCAGAAGGTTTGGTTGTACACCATTGACAGTAGCCAGGCTGATTCAACGGTACAGGCAGACAGGGAGGACACAGGACAGGCCTAGAACCGGACGACCCCGAGTGACAACACCACTGGAAGACGGTCAGATACGGCTCATTCACCTGCGAAACAGATTCGTAACCGCGGCGGCGACGGCAGCAACAGCTTTGGGACATCCCATTAGCCAACGTACAGTACTACGACTACTTCGTGCTGCTGGAATCCGAGCGTATCGTCCTTTCGGAGGAATGGTATTGACTGCTCAACATCGACATTGGCGTCGAGTGTTGTTTACTGATGAACGTCGGTTTAACTTGTTTCGAAATGACGGCAGAGAACGGGTTTATCGACGCAGAGGGGAACGTTTGTGTCATGGTGTGTGGCGGTATTTGTGGAGATCAGAAGACTGATTTGGTGATTATACAGAAAAACCTGAACGCTGTGCAGTACAGAGACCAAGTGTTGCAGCCAGTTGTGCTTCCGTTCTTACAAAACCAACAGCAGGGGACATTGTTTCAAGACATTACTGCAAGACTGACTCGGAACTTTCTTAACCAGCAGAACGTTGACGTTTTGCCCTGGCCTGCCCACTCACTCTATATGAATCCAATTGAACATCTGTGGGACCATCTTGACAGACAGATTAGAGCACGTCATCAACCTCCCGTCAACAGACATGAATTGCAGCAGGCCCTGAGAAACGAGTGGCAACGGATTCCAGTCCACGTCATCAGAAGACTGACGTCATCGATGAGGCGGCGTATCACAGCATGCAGCTGGATGTCATACACGCTATAGAAGGCAACTGTGTCGACAATGAACTTGTAGTGTGTCTGACAATTTTTTGGTGACATTTCAGACAACTTTTGAAAATGAAATTTCTTACCCCACCATTGTTTACCTGTGATTGCACAATTTCATTCAAACTGTGGTTGATCAATCATTTGTTACCCCTCCCTAGATTATATTATAATTCACAACAAAACCTCTTCTTGTTATTTTTTTCTCGTTCATGGCACTCGACCTATACTTTCTTTTGCCGCCCAGTTTATATCCTTAACAATACGAAGGTGTTATCATGATATGCTTTTCAGTGATCCAATCATATACTTTTCACCACTTTTGTCGCTAGTATTTTGCATGTTACACCAGATGGAATCCGTTTCGGATGGATTATTCTCTGTTGATGACATCCTGGCAGAATTCTAAAGTCTGTGTTTCATTATTTCATGTTTATGTTCTTTATATAGTACCAAATGATATCATTTACGAAACCAAACAGAAGCAGTGATGATTACTATTTCGTGAAATATGTCAGCATGTGTGCTTTGTTTCACTACGGAAACGTGTTATGCATACTGTGCTTTTGATACTGAGTTTTGGAGATGCGTTGGACCTTTAATGAATTGTCACAGTTACTGTCTCTTGAATGCATCAGATTCATGAGCATCCACAATTATATGTTCATTAAGACCTTGGCAACGCGTGATCCTGAATAGTGGCAATATCGGGGCAGTGTCCCATGCTTGTCGTAGAATCCGTTGGGGTGGATAAAGCGTGTGACCTGGCTGATGTTGCAATTCTGTGTCACTCCTCATGCAGTTCTCTTCCAGTGTAACTTGGCAACACTCGGTCATGATATCTATATGCTGCTGCATTAAACATAATTTTCTCCTGAGTTTAGTTTAACGCCTATTTGAACATTATTGCACTTATATCACGACATGTCGGCTTAGTGTGGGAGGAAAGCTGGAAGTGATGGTAGGTCAAAGCAGGTCTTGGGGCTATACCACTGTGGTGAAATCCACGAGCACAGATATATATGTGGTGCTCAAAAACCTTGAATTATTAGCGGGGCGAATCTGGATTCTAACCCACAATGCACAGCGAATTGCGGCGCCATAGAAGGCTAGGCCACCCATGCCTCCAGCACATATTTGATCATATACATGTACATAGGACAAATCATTGTATGATTCCGACTATATGATAAGCATGTGTCCATGAATCACTATCTATTCCCGACCTTGGCAAATATCCAATGGGATAGTTTTGTTGTACTGGTTGCAACGGTAAAGCTAAATACAGGTCAGTCAAATTTACGTACCATGTATATGACACAACCAGAATGCATATTTTAAAGATATAGTAAGAAACACGCTCCTCTGAGATGTCATTTGGATAGTGTGAGAGGCCATTTTGACACCAGTTGTAATATATTCTTGTTTTCTGACCACGTCTTGGTCCCAAGCTAATGCTGGAGTTTAAAATAGTAGTTTTGTCCATGTTATCATTATGGTTATTGTGCCACCTACCTCAATAAGGACAGTATGTACGGCAACACCACAGAAGAAATATCTTCTTTTGTGACGAGAAAACACCAAACAGGCAAGCCATTCTCTTTTGAGGTAATGTAATGAAAACACGAAAATTATTGACGTGTTACCCAATACAATCTTCACATCAAATTAGATTTTGATAAATAACAGATAGATCCCACTGATATGAAAGCACAAGTTATGGAAGAATATCATGTTGTGATATTGTGGAATGGATTTGTACACGAACATAGTTTAATGTTACATACTGTCATGACTATGTGGATGAAAATGTTAATATACATGCATACAAATAGCACAAACAAGAGGCCATAATCCACGCTAACCATGTCTAAATCAAAGGATAAAGACTTATATGTGTTGTTAAATCTTAAGTCTAACAGTCTAACGTTACCGGCCGATAATATCTGTGCTTTGCTGACGAAAAAGGTGTAATACAAGAGAGGCACCATTTGTATTTCACACATTATACAGAGAAAAGACCAAAAAGTTTTAAATGTATGTACTTCCGCTCAATCCATTTACTTATAGATACGGGCGAAAGTCTCACCCACCTGATCTCATCTCACCTTGTTATACTTGAATTTTTGAGGTCTGAGACATGAACTGACTGGAACTGCTCTGTTACAAGCCACTGACATTTGATCCATGGAAAACGTGTTTTGTTTCACGAGAAGCATGCAGAATAGGGCTATAAAAGACAGACTTTTAAAAGCCACATCACTTGTTGCTGCAGACGTAAAGGGTACTGACACAAGAGGGAGGGAGTGTCATGGTGTGGGGCGGCATCAGTCATAACCATCGAACAGAGCTCCATGTTTGTCGTGGAAGAGTTAATGCCCTTTACTACAGGAATAACATATTGGCAAATCACGTCATCCCATTCTTTCTCAGCACCAGGATATGCACACCTTCCAGCAAGATAATGCAAGAGCGCACACAGCACGTGTTTCAACACAGTACCTAGCGAACAATAATGTGCCTCTGCTTCCATGGCCAGCCCTGTCACCCGATCTATAGCCAATTGAACATCTATGGGACTACCTGGGTCAACGCCTCTCACGTCGTCCGCAAGTACAGAATCTGATAGAACTTGAAGATACACTACGTCAAGACGGGAATGCCCCAGAACACTATTCGCAGAATTATTCGATCAATGAGAAGACGTTTCATGGCCTGCGTTGCTGTCAATGGCGGACATACCAGAAACTGACTTTTCATTTTAACCCCGTGTGTCTTCCTTACACCGATGACGTAATTGTAATTACTGTGTGGTATTCCTGTTTCCTTTGTCGTCTTTCTTAATAATCCGTCTATGTCTGTTCTAATCAAAATCGATCATTGCTCAAGTCGTTTTTGTAATATTTCAAGATTTATTGCTTGTGCGTTTTCAATGCTGTTCAGTATATATGAAAATGTTATAATCAGTCGTAAAACGACTGGCTGAGACTTAAAGGTTTCGGAAATAAACCCAAACGTCCCAATACACCCGAAGCATTGCACGTGGACCAATTCCTC